ACTTTCTGATGGGAGCGTTTTTACTCACGGAGGAGGAGAGCAATTTTACTGTTTGGTGATGGAGCAAATTCGTTCCTTTCCCAGAGTAAAAGGGGGGTGAAACTGGAGTTAGCTATTTTGCTCTCTTTTTTGAGAAAAATCGCTCCCCTTTTTCTAAGAGTGTATCGTGCAGAACTCAATGGACAAATCTGATCATGCAAGAACGCTGCAAAAACACGCGGATAAATTTGTTTCCTCGAAGCCATCCACTTTACATGGACTTACATATTCCTGTGATGAGCGGAAATATATTCTGTGCCAACACAATACCACATAAACCTTATATAATACCAAACATGGACATAACGTAACATAAAATCAGCATGGAACATTATCTAAAGACTACACCAAATACAGACCCTTGAAGTACCGAGAAGTGATCAATCTCTTCTTCGTCCATATTTTCCGGCTTGTGTCCAGGCGTAGTCACATCCGTCCTCTCGGGAATGACTTACGCCGGAACCTGAATTTCGCAGAAATATCCAGAGCTCCAGGTAGTTATGGTGCAATCGTTATCCGCCCAGCGTCCGTTGCAGCATGTGGAGTCCGGGGCCTTGTAGACGGCGATCATCAGACATCCTCCCCCTTGATTGGGTTCGGTCGGGTGGAACAGTCCTTGACCTTTCCCCGTGTAATTCAGGAGTGTGCCTGCAGAAATTCATGACATTTTGAACTCAGGGTATCAGGCGGATGGTGTTGTCGGTTCCCATGCATTTGAACGGATATTGTGCATAAAAATGTTAACTTGGGACTGGTTTCTCCAGAGTGAATTCAATCAGTAGTCATCTCTATTGAGGAGTACTGTCATCATCCCGGACCGAACGGAATAACTCATTTCGGTCATAACTGTGTCATGTTTGAATTCCATTATTGATTCAATGGGAATTCATCCAGGAATATTTCACACGCCCCAATTACCAGGATATACGGATTACTTAAGTACGTATTAGTGAGAGGAGATTTTATTCCTAATTCCCAGGGAATTATGAAAGCTTCCTTGTCTTTCCCTCGAATAATACATTCGAGTCAGCCAATCCCCATGTCAGGGTGAGCATCGCCAAGTCGATCATCTTCACTTGTATTTTGCAAATACGAGCCTATTGAGGGGCGGGATTTCAGATCTGATTATCGAATGACGGAGAATTCTAGAGGAAAGCATCTGGTTGTATATGGTCGTCGAAACTGCAGCTCTGCAGGATGTTTAGACTATTCAGGACGTTTTAATTCCGATAGAGATCAGGCGAATTGCCATTTCCTAATTTTTTAACGAGAAACAGTGCATCAATAATACGTATTCGGGGGGGAAAATATTCTGAACGAGATTACCATCCATGGGAATTTAACGTGGGAGGTCATAATCTGGTTGCATCCCTTGTGTACGCCTGGTATGAAAGCGTATGCAAATAAATTTTTCTACTCACAGATTTTGAAAAGCGAAATTTTGCGACAACAAAGAAAAAGTCGCTTTTACCTGCAGAGAATCTCAATATTGGTCTAATCCTTTATGAATCTGAAACTCACCGTCGAGAAGTCTCCAGTGGTTGGCGTCCATCGTGCTCTGCCCACCGATCCTGAAGTATCCGGTGCCAGCTCCAACGTTCGAGTAGATCCCGAGACTCAAGATCATCTGGGTCATGTAGGCGTGGATCTGCTGGTTGGTGTCCACGGCCAGTCGGCCTCCGTCTACCTCGCAGTCTGCCTCGGCCTGGTTCCAGTTCTTCGTGGTGGTGACGACTGTCTTCACGTACGACGACGTGCCTGGCACCAGTTCGTAGCCTCCTGTGAAGTTCAAGGTGCACATTCATACGGTGCTGTGCACCCAAGGCAAGTAACATTGCATAACTTTCACAGGAAGAATGATAAATCATCTTGCTGCAATTTTCCAGGTAATATGAGAGAGAAATTGTCAACAGTAGCCGCAGCCCGTCTTCACGTAATTCGAAATTCCTTGCACCTGTGGGTAGCCTAATGGGAAGCAGAAAATATATTTTTAGTGTGCAAGGAAATGAGTTAATTTTCCTTTCTCTAGAAGTCTGAAATAAATTCATAGATGATAAATGATCGTCCTCCACGATTCCTGTCGATAAGTAAGAGAGAGGAACCAGCTAGTAAAATATGCATCGAATGGTCACGGAGATCCTCTCAAGATTGGCATTGGTCGTTTCCCTTGGTGTTCCACGAAGTCGTTTCAAAATTCGTTGCCATGATGAGGGCCGTTCTGAAAGTTCTGATTTCAAGCTCATTTCGAAGTAGTCAAAATTTTAAGGAAAACATGGCCTGATAAAGCTTCATCTGAAAATGTTAATTTAATACTCATGGATGCTGATACAATTTTCTTGCAGGACTATCCGCAGTTGATAGCAAATGAAGCATTGTAACTTTCTACCAATAAAGCAACAATCGATCACTGACTTAGCGAAAGAATTGTGGAATGTGCGTTGAAATTTCCTTGTCTCATTCAGTTCGTTGATGCTAATAATTGCATGAATTATACGTGAGCGAAAACATGAGTAAGACGTTTCCGAGCAGGTAATACAAACAACGAAGCACCTCAAGACCTTCCAAAACACGAATTCATCACGAAAAGGAGCTTGTGGATGGGAGTTTGTGAAAGTATATGTGAACTAATGGGAAATCATTGATTCCTGAAAGTAGACAAAGTTTTTGTTGGAGAACTGCTGAAAATGGAGGTGCCCAGCCCTCTCCGGCAAGGAACGAGTGTATAGAGCCATACTGATGCATAACCCCTCGTCCAAGAGTGATTCATGACGCGAGGAGCGTCGAGTGACGTCGCTTCACTCATCCATTGCCCGGCCAATCACTGGAATTAATGGGAAAAATAAAGAGATCGTGGAGAAGGTGGGTTTTGGTACAGGTACCAAACATGGTACACTTGTGGTGATGCTCTTTGTTGTCCAAGGAAACGCAAACGAAATCACACCGCGATAGCCCCCATTGAATCCTCTTGAGATGGTGAAGATGGATTAAGTTCGTTAACAACTAATCATAGGTAACTATGGCTCCATTAAAATATACAAAATCACAGTTAAGGACTCTCACAAGGAATATTAGCTTGCTTAATTCCTGGGTTCTATGAATCTGTCTCGAATATGGAGACAATAAACGAAGAAACAGCAACTTTGAGTAATTGTTTTATGAGACATGACGAAATGTATGCTGAAATACTAAGTACTGCTGTGAATGATGAATATAGGGAGACAAGAAAGAGTACATTTGGGTGCTGTGCAAAAACCAGGAACCACGCTGCCATCTAGTGGCCAAGCGGAGAATGTCATTTGCCTTAAACTCCCAAGCATAACTAATCCGCATTGGAGGGTCCCATGCATTCAAGTTGGGATCAATGATGGCAGGGGAATGTAGGGGATACATTGCTTACCCAATATTGGCAATGTTGGGGATGTAATATGCCCTAGAGGTGATATATGTTGATATTAATATCAAGCCAACCTGGAGCCTTAATTGGGCCTTGTCTTTTGGTAACTTTGCACACATAATGGCAAAGCAGCATAGAACAAGATCAGCCATTGTCCTCCATCAATGAAGTGCCGAGAAATGGCTCGCCAAAGCTGGACCCATGAATGGGCCAAGAATGCTTGCCAATGCCGAAGATCTGCCAGCGTTGCCATGAAGGGGCCATTGCTGGGCCAAGCATTTTGGGCAATGTGGGATACTGCTTCCTCGGCCCAAGTCGTTTTCCCCTCGGGAGTTCGTAAATTTCAGTTCGATGAATGGTAAAGAGAAAAATCCGAAAAAGATGAAACTCACCCTTTTTTTCTCGAAAGCAAAATACAATTCCTCGACCAGGCGCTGTGAACAAGTACGATTTAATGTAACTCTTTACCCACTCGCGTAGTTGGCAGATGCGTAACGCAGAGGGATCGCGTGGGCGCAATATCAACTATATAATAATAGCATAAAATTTAGTATTTTTATGTTTGTGTGTTTGTCCGGATACCTGCACGTATCGATATCTCTGAGCCCCAACCAATATCCCCAATTTGAAACGTGGCCTGACCCGGCGTCGAACTTTATTGTTTATCTGCTTCACTTGAATGGTTGCTGGATGAATAAGAGACGGTTGCTGGCTGGGGACATTATCTTCCAACCCCCTCGAAATGAATTTGCAAATTTACAAAATTTGCTAAATTTTGCATTCGGGCTTCAGGTCGATTCGTAAATGACCATCATTATGTCCTTCCCACACAATGTGGTATAACTAGAAGAAGAGAACTTTTTGTTTATGAACAATTTTTTGTCTCAAGGATACCCTCCCATAATGCCATAGACAATTTTCCCTCATTCTTTTATTTGCTTAACACTGTTATTGCATACCTCTCCGAACATATGAGCGAAAATACTCAGTAATGCCTCAGCATATTAAAAGTCCAAGGGTTAATCTTCCATAGCGCGCATACCAGCGTAGTGACCTGTCCTGGTAACATGAAAGCTTATGCACATTTGAAAGGCGGTCATGTTACAACTGCCTAGCATTTGGAATTTCCCTGCGCCATGGTCCATCACCAAGTACAAGCCCTTAACAGGCCCTTAACATCCTAACATGATATTTAACATCTTCGGGTATATTAACCTAAATATGTTTAGCCGGATATATAAAGGCAATTCCAAAAAAGAAAAACATATTCAAGAAATGGGGTTACTTATATAAACTCCCACCCATACTCTTTCAAAGTGCATAGTAGAATCCTTACTCAGTGAATATTTCACTGAGATGTTTGAAACAAGGTTATGAATACATTCATGACGTCACCTGGAATTTTCAGTACGAAGTACTCGCTGTTAGTATCCGCCTGGAGGTTCGGTTTCCATCCACTCAGCCGGCAGTCGACGGCTCCGGAGCTCTTCGTGGCGGAGAAGGTGTAACAAGTTGGATTCTTGCTCCTGGAAATGTATTTTTTGCCGTCATGCCGAATTGGACTCGTCATTCGAGAGCGGAAATTAAACCCTCACTTACATGTGACAGTGAAAGGCACATTCGACGGAAGTCAGCAGTTGAAGCTCCGCGATGGGACCGACGACTTGCATGCCCATCTTGTAGAGCTGATAGTTGAGTGTTGACATTTGGGCCTGCACCAGGGACCCCTGAGAAATTAACGTGAAAAGAAACTTCATCATTTCGGGACCTTGGAGCGGCCCAGAAGAAACAATTCTTGAATGTCGCAAATGAGATGAGCTTCTCATGAGCCTACAGCTCATTGTGAACCCCAATTGACCTGTCGGGACGACAATGGGCTGGAGAAAGAGTTATCGGCATCCACTTTCCCGGAGCACAAGAAGCGGAAAGATCATGCAGACTATACTTAAGCAGGCGGAATGAAGCACATGAAGGTCGGGAGAATCTCTCCATCTCTGGCGGTGAGTCAACAGAGCTTCTGCATGCGTGCGGGCAGGTAATTTCGTGACAGATGGATGACGTTGTAATATGCAAGGGTAGCCTTTTGAGATTGCGATCTTGGAGCTTGAATATGTCATGATGTAGACCGCGGAATCAGTATGCTCATGATAACCATATCAGAACCATATGTCCTATTTTGCAACGATGAGGGTCCAGTATTTTCTCTTGCCCTTGAAAACCTCCTAATCCTCATTTTCGTATACATCGCGTGTTTTCTTTCAGCATCGTTGAATATATAAATTTTATATGCGTTTGGTACCAACTTGGACCTTGACAAGAGTTTGTAAACTCAGGGACGCCTTGGAGGCAAGGGTCGAAATCCACTACGTTAAGTCGTTGCCTTGAAAAGTGCCGGTATGGTCCACAGCCACAGTCAACACAGGACCAGAGCTATCCTGTCTCATTGACGTAGAAGAAAATCGGGAAAGATCCACTCACCATTGTCATTGCGTCGACAGTTCCTGAATACGTGCGGTGAAGCATTTTCATGAGGAACTGATTAGCTTTTTATATGCTAAATGTATGATATCAGATAACCGTCACCGAGCCATTGCATTCAATAATTCAGAACTTGGAGGCAGTAGATATGTTGATATGAATCTTGGAACCTTCGTGCCTTGTGATAACGAGCTTGGAGCCGTACATTCTGCGACGAGGAGTCGCCAGTATTCCTTACGTAGGTTTCCACTCTCGTCCGATTCATCGGTCGGCGTCCGCGGTCGACCTGCAGCCGGAAAATGTGAATTGCATATTGGCCTGAATGATCGCGAAGAAATCCCTCTCGCTGCAACAATAACTGTGACTACTCCCATTGCTATCAGCTGCAGACGGTTTGGAATGAGAAGTAGATCAGTATCCAGGAACATACCAGAAATAGGTCCTGAAAAGCAATTTGCCAATTTTTTGGCCGTTTGCCAATTTTTTGGGAGTTATAACCAAGTCCAAAGGTTTCAGAAAGATTATGAGGACCTGGAATTTAAAAAAAAAATCTCAATGGAAAAGCAACAGCGACGAACAAAATAAGTTTGGACAGGTTCTCAACAGCCAGCAAAAATTCTGGCCGCACAAGAGGAGTATTACTTTGAACCATTCTTTTTCTGTTTGAATTCTGCAAGCGGCTATTTGGGCTTAATTCCTATAAGCACTAAAAATGGCATTCCACTTCTTAGGAGGCTAAATATATGTGCCAGCCACATCGATGTACGTGAAAACCGTCGTCAGCAATACCAAGATGTAGAGCCAGGCCCAGGCAGACTGCGAGGCAGACGGCGGCCGACTGGCCGCCGACGACAGCCAGCAGATCCACGACTGCACGACCCAGGTGATCTCGGGTCTCGGGATCTGCCGCAACGTTGGAGCTGGCACCGGGTGCTCTCAGATCGGTGGGCAGAGCAGGACGGACCCATTTCACTGGAGGCATCTCGACGGTGACCTTGAGGTCGATCGATCAAAAGTCAAGTTGCCGTCATGATCAAAGTCGAGTTGTTGAGAATTGTGAAAGGGCACTATCCTGCCTAGAATATTTTTGCGTAGTTCATGCTGCTAGGTGGAATCTCAATTTCGGAAATAATATTCAAGTGATGTTTTCTCCTAGACTGTTCAACTGGTAATTACCGCTAGTCATTATGGAAATGGAATTGCCGGGGGAGGAAAGGAGGTTTAGGAATATATTCAGCTTCCCTGCATCCCTGCTTCTTCTCCCTGAAGATAGCGAATGGAGACTATTCGCCAGCCCTTAATAGGCGCGAACGTCCAGAGGATAAATATTAATTGATTCATTAATATCTCAAAATTAATAACTCAAAATATTCATTTGGGAGTATGTGAGATGGGCGGAGTTCCCCTTTCACTTCGCAAAACACAATTTACTCTTAATTTAAATAATAATAAAAAATGATTTCGCAAAACGTCTTTACAGCCCTTCGATATGATCACCATCCGGCGATTGCCTCCCAACTCGTCGGTGAGCTCTCCGCGCTCGTTCTCCTAGACTTGCACCGTTGAAAAGTAGCGAACGTTCAGGGAGTAAGAATAAGGAATCTCACCAGCTCCCATTTTACTCTCCGATTAATTGGCAATTGCACTCTTGTTGATTTCATTTCGCATGCTGCTCTCTCGCCATCTCTCCTTCCACGAAGTAACTAAACAACAAAGTCAGCTCTGCTAAGTGACTGCAATGACGACGGCTTTCACAAAGTCCATCAGGGTTGGATCCGTATGCAATTTACAGCTTGGGTCAAGGTGTATTCTGCCCAAATCGGCTATCATGAAATACTGGAGAGAAGGTCCTTTCGTTGAGATCCCAAGGAAGAGCGCCACCGCCAAACAAAACGCATTTCGGTTAGCCTGACAAAGCCTACATTATACTTACACATTTATTTAATTTAGGTTTTGTGAAATCTGCCGGTCAATGGCCAACTTTTTCACTAAGAAGTTTAACGAAGGCGAAGTTCAAGCCCCGAGCTCCAACTGGCCAGTGTCATGATGACGATTTTCATTTCTATTTTTCCTTTCGCAACGTTCTTCTCTTCTTAATCGAAAAATGCCTTGGGCTTTGAAGCGAGCGCCACAGTCCAGAACGGAGCGGGGAGGGCGTGCCCTCTCTGGTCGACGTAGGACTACGAATTGAGTTAGAAGATAGTTCCAGGCGGAAGTTACCGAACTTAATCGGTACTCGATTTTGCTGGTGACGGTGTCATGAAAAGAAACGCAAGGAGGAAATCGAGATTTGAATGTTTACGTCATGCTTAGATAAGCACGAAGGTCATAGTGGAACGTATTCCACAAAACGAATTAACAGGTGAATAAAACTTGGCCGAATCAGGCGGTACAAAAAGAGCAAGGATCATAAAAGGTCAAGAGTACAAAAACAGCAGAGCGAACACGGGGATAGAGTGCTAGTTTTTCTTGCTTAGATTCTAGATTAGGATGATGGGAAAAGGAATGGAAAGCGTCGGTGTTCACCACTTCTGTATGGTGTACTTCACCGACAAGTACTTGCAAATTTCCTCACACAGGACGAACCACTCCATCCCGTGCTCCTTCACTAAGTTTCTGTCCGGGTGGTAATGTACCAGCGCCCTCTTCAAGCTCTCCTTCAGCGTGGATGCATCGCGGGGATCCTCCAGCTTCCCCTTCTTCGGGGGATGCTTGGAATAGACGTGGCGAAGCAGCTTGTACGGGGAATCGTCGGCCGCCTCCCTCACGACTTGGAGAAGGTCCTTCATCTTCTCCATGTAGGGGGCCCGATCCGTGGCCGACTTGGCGTCCTCCTCCGCCTGGCGCTTCTGCTGGAAGCCGCTCATCGCCTTGACACACTCCTTGTGCCAGGGTTGGGTGACGAACGACCTCGGTTTCAGGGCCTCGGTCAGTTGCAATGCGTATTCCAGCAATTTGTACCCTTTCTCTTTAAGGTTAAGAAGCTGAATGAAGATCAATCCCAGCTTGGAAGAGGCGATGGCTTCGTTCTCGAGATCTCTGTCGCGGGAGCAGAGGATTGCCTTCGTGAACCAATCTGCACTGTCCCACAGAAGCTCCGTGTTGGTTGTTTCCTCATCGTAGACGGCCTTCTTCTGGAGTTCTTCACCGATGTAGATCGCCTGCATCGCCTGGGCTATCGAGATATTAACATCAAGGGTTTTCATTTGCTCTTCGATTTCACTGTTCAGCTCGTCATCATTTGAAAACGCGTGAGGGAGGTAGCGCATTGCTTCTGCTTATGGAAATCTACAGTCCTCGAATGCAGAAAGACACTTCTTGAAATCTTGAGCGTCTCTGGCGACGACCCCCACGCCGTAGTAAAGGTTCCCCATCTCGAAGAACACGACAGACTTCTGACCGCGATGCACCACCTCACAAAGCCTCAGCAATGCAGTCTCCTTGTCCCTGAAGTCCCCCAAGTCCCTGATGATGCTCAACGCGCTGGCAGTGGCCTCCTGAACCCGGGAATTCAAGTCCGCAACCCACGCGCTTGCCGGTTGACCCTCCGTCGCGTCCAGTGCCTTCGCAAACGAAAATGCGCTCCGTTCAAGATGGTAAATGACTAGCTTCGCGGAGAGCAAAGGACACGCAGAGATCTTCAGATGGGCCATTCCCAAGTTCTTCAGCGCAGAAAGACGATCCTGCAAGACTCGGGCCGCCGAGAGCGCCTGGGTGTAGAGCTTGATGGCGTCCTCTAAACACCCCCTGTCAGCTTCGCCTATGGGCAGGGTTTTCACGCTCAAGTAGAGCCGGTTTCCCTGCTTTCTCAAATCTTCTGGTGAAGCCATGGTTACGTAAACCAAAAAACGATATGTCACTCACCTGCCAACAAAAGAGTGCATTGTTAACTTGGTTTAGGGAGCGGTTGGGGAGGTAGTGCCTAAAAGAAGTGCAAAGGGTGAAATCAGTTGGAAATTACACTTCTTTACTGAATAAAAGCTACATCATCAATAATTATGGGCAATACTGTGGTTATTTGGTAATCAAGCCTAGAGAAGTGAGGAAAGTCATATAACAGGTGGAACTTTCAAGGCAAAGGGATGAAATTTCAAGAGCACATATACACTCAAAAGAAGAAGATGGCTAAGCGAGTGAGTGTGAGTAGTGTGTGTGTGTGTGTGTGTGTGTGTTTGTGTGTATGCAAACGCAGGTTGGTGGGTGGGGGGGAGGGAGAGAGGGTAGGGGGTTGGGGGAATACTTATCACCCGAAACAATCGCTAAAAGCGATATCATTGTTGAAGCATGGAACCCGAGAAGTAAAAGGTTTAAATTTATAAAACTTTGAAAACGACGCAGCTTTGAAGGTGTAGCGCACGACGCCTACAAAGCTACGCCCCACTAGGCCATATACTAAAATAGAAGTTTAATATACTCATGACCCATCCGCATGAAGCGACTACAAGGACTATCTGACCTTTAATTCTGCTACCGTAGCCTCAAGAAGGAGGGCAAAAAGTATATGCTTTCGCAGGCTAATTGTTTGGCGGAAGGAAAATAAATGTTGTCCCTTCGTTCGTCCGAAGCGGATGGGTTAAAAGACACACCCTGTAGTCTGCTGGATTATAAACACCCAATCTAAAGAATTTAAAGTGGCTAGAGTTCATGCTGGTTAGTCGGGCTTTTAATTGCTGTGACTGAAGCAAAATGAATCCTCCAACCTTTCTTGTGAAACGTAGACTATGAACAAAGTGTACAATAAATCAGGAAACTATGGCATAGTCTATTACCTGGAAAGGCATATCTTACTGGACTTCGTGCGATGGCTAACGCGCAAGGTCAACGAGGCTATCTCTCTCTGGGCCATAGAACACTATGATTTCTGACTTATGATGCACTCTGTATAGATGATTGAACATATGGATCGGCCGCATGGCACTACGAGGGTCCGTGTTCCAACAAGCAGGGTGTGTCTTTTACCAGCAAATCCATGATCTCATAGTTTAGCCTATGGTCTACAGTGGCAGAGT